ATATACCTAAGGCCACTGGCTTGTTAGTCAACCACTGCTAGAGAGAGAGGTAACAATGGCTGGATTTTTCTCTTTGCCAGTACAACAGAAAAGCAGTGGCAGAGACTCATGTGCTTACCCTACACAAGATACAAAGAGAAACTAAAGTCCAAAGTGAGAGGAAGAGATCACCCTCTACTGACAATGCCAATGCACTAGCACTTGGCATGCTAGGAGAACAAAGCCAGCTTAGTACCAGGTTGCCTCAAAGTCACTCATAAGGGTGAAAAAAAGCAAACCCACAGGGAAGCTCCAAAAGGAGCTAACAAGAGCTGGGGAAAGCCATTGAGGAGTGATGGGGCAAACTGACTGTCACTAGCAGAGTTGCATCACTGGGGAAACAGATTATACCCAATGCCCAGTACCAGCAGCTTAGCACCCCATGTCAACAGTGGTTCAGATGACACAGCAACCAATTGGACAGATCCACTGCATTCTCCAGGGTGCTGGTATAAACTATACCTGGAACCTTAAGCACCTGGGAGTCGCACAGCTTGCCCAGACTGCTGTGTCCTCGTACAACAAGTATCCACCATTTGCAAAGCAAAATAATTCAGCATGCTGCTGAGCTCCTGGTTGAGGACCTACCGTTGAGTGGGATCTGAAGCACAAAGGGCAGATTAAGCTACCAGTGCTCAGTGAGGCTAACATGGAAATATGGTGACAGGTCAAGTCAAGTACTGGGCCAGGGACTTAGTTCCTGGATCTGAAACCAATCCCATGGTCTTATTTAAGATAAACATTCAAAGCTTCCTCTCTCTCGCTCTGGATCCTGAAAGGGACTAACAGACATATCTATTAGGGGTGTGGGATTGGTTCAGAGCAGTGGTTCTCAATTTTTTTTTGTACTTGGACCCATTTGTAAACATCAATGGCCAGTCCTGACCCAGTAAGTAGTTTAAGTAGAAAACAGTCCCCTGGCCCTGCTGGTGCCCCTTACATCCAACTCGCTATTCCTCCCCCCCCCTGGGGGGGCCCCCCCGCAAGCAGCCCCTTGCAGGCTGGAACTCTGTCAGCCTGAAAAGGAAAACCCAAGGTTTCCTACGTTTTTCTCCTTTAAAGGAGAACCCATTTTTAAAGTTTGTTCACAACCCTGTCATATATTCTTACACCCCACTTTTGGGTCATAACCGATGAGTTGAGTAACACTACTCTAGAGCAGGGGCGAGCAAAGTCCAGCCCGCAGGCCAGATCAGGCCCACAGCAGACTATTTCCCAGCAGCCCCTGCCCACATCACTCTGGCCGGTTTCCAAAGAGATCCCAGGAGTGGTGGGGCTGTGATGACCCCACACTCCCTGGGTCTCCACAGAGACCAGCCAGAGCAGTGCTGGCAGGGCACAGAGCTGGGTAGGGAGCTGCTCTGGGGCAGGGGCTTGGATTTTGTGGCTATAACAGCACGGGCAGGAGCCAGGACAGAGCTGTGATCCGCTGCCCGCATGCTGTGGGCAGGGGTGTGCAGGCAATGGACTGGGGTGCTACCCCAGTCCCTGCCTGCACTGTCACTGCCTCAAAATCCCAGCCCCACCACATGCCCTGCCAGCACTGCTCAGGCCAGTCTCCACAGAGACCCTGCACTGTCATGGCCCTGCCACTCCTGGAGTCTCCATGGAAACTGGCTCAACTGACACAGGCAGGGGCTGCTGAGACGGAGTCCAGCTGACAGCCTGATCTACCATTGTGCCCACTCTGATCTAAAGAGTATAAACAACTGCCATGGCTGCCTCCACGAGGAACTCCTCTTCTACTGGCAGGGGAAGAGCAGAACCACTCCCTTTACTCCAAAAAGGGCTTGGGAAAGGAAAGAAAAGTGGTTAAAATTAAATAAGGCAGGAGTCGGCAACATTTTGGGGCAGAGTGTCAAAAACAGCCACAACCTCAACCTGTAAGATATTGGTGTGCCAGGGCAGAACAGAGGAGTCATGAGGGGCCTGATCCTTGTTGTGACAGTGCAGCCCCAGCCCATTCCTGAAGGCACAAGTGCCAAGCAGAATGCCTTTGCATGCAACACACTGGCACATACCAGGGATTGCCAACTCCTGCAGTAAAGTAAGACGTAGAGTAAGAATATGTGGGTACCCATTTACTTGAAGGAGAACGTGGAGGTTCAACAACGGTTTTAAATGGGTGGTTGTGGGTGTGTAAAAATAAAAATCAGGTAGCCTAGGCTGACTTTTCCCACTGCTTTCAAGTATGCCAATTGTCAAATCTTTTAATGACTTAATGTGCCATGTCCTGTCCTCCCCTGCCTACCCCCAGTTTCGTGTCAAGAAAAAGCATTATGCAGTATATTTTTAAATTAAATACATCTGTGGCTCAAGTACTTTGTAAAGTGAATGAAATACAAAAATATGAACAGTAAAAAATATGGAAAAATCCAATCCTCCCCCGTCCACTGGTAAGTTTAGCACCTGAAACGTTTTAAAAGGACACAATCAGAATAAGCAAGATGCTAAAGTACAACTCAAACCATGAAACAGTTTATCTGCAACACAATAAAAAAAATATTTACCTGATGGATTCAGTATCAATGTGCACGGGAGCTATCCTCTCTAGAAGAAATTTTATCATTTCCAAGAAAGGATTTGTAGGTTGTTTGGGGTTGCCCAACTTCTTTGTAATTTCTCGCTGCAACAGCATTTGAAATAGATTATTAAACAATTCAGTTACTAAGATAGCTTGTCAAGTACTTTAAGAACTATCCTTACCACACATCCTTCAGCTTGCTTGCAAGAACATGTTGGGCTAACAAGCATTTCTAACTGACTTCTTATTTTTTCATCATCTTCCAAAACTTGTGTGAACTTCTTCATGAAATCCTGAGCCTTGCCAGGATCTGGCAGATTCCCTTTAAGTATGTAAAACAAATTAATAGAATAAAAATTCCCCAAAATTACAGCAACTTAGATTTTAAGTTTGCATAATGCACTAACACAAATTTTACTTGCTCAGTAAAAGCACTGAAAAAAACCATGTAAATAGATAAAGCATACATATGAATGTAGATAACAAGTCCATTTCTAGGCACTTTTTCTGTACATTCAGGTTCCCTTGCTATTCGTTTGTTAATACCATCTTTGCATCCCTCATAGGACAAAGGTTCTTTTTCAACTTTCTCTCTCTACTATTTCTTAAGACTTCCCTATTCTGCTGATAAAACTAAAAGCTAATGTAGAAGTTTTATTGACAAATATGTAACCAAGAGTATTTCTGGTTAAATAAGTAGATTACTAACAACAAAGCAAACAATGTAAATACCAAATTGAGCATAGCTGATATACAAATAATTTACAAAGTAAAATGAAACCTCATCATACTATTTTAACAAAATCATGTATCTACTAGAAATGCACATCAAGCTGTAATCAATACCCTTCTTTAAACAGTAAATGAAAGATTACTGGATAAAAAAATAAATACCAATCTTTTAGCAATGACAACATTTAATATGCTACTAGAGAATTCATTTGGTACGTTATTAAGAAATGAACTAATAAGGAATTGTAGAAAAATATTGCAATGCTATCTGAGAAGTTAATAAAATCCAACTCCACTCAACAGTTTGTAGGAAAACTATATCCTTACTTTGAAAACTCTGTAGTCTAGAACTGAAGGAAACAAAAAATCATAAACTAACTGTGTCTTCTGCTATATTAAAAGTCAACGATTCAGGATAAAAGCTTCATCTCCTATTCTTCCTCTATCGAAACAAAATAATCTGCCATTTTCTACTCCAACCTTAAAGTCTGATACGCAATCACCAGCTTCTCAGAAGCAGAGATGTTCAGTCTATTTCTGGTTTTTGAATGGAGGAGTCCCCAAACTGACCAATTTTCTTCTGCAGCAGATAGGACCCAAAAGACAAACTGAACGATAAAGGGGGGTTGGCAGTTCCAAAAGGACACAGGCAGGGGAGGCTCAAAACAAACAAGGTGGTGAAAACATAAGAACAGAAGTAAGCGTCTATACACAAGGAGCTTTTTAGCTACCTCAAAACGAAGAGAGAAACATACAGGCAATGACAGGAAGGCATGTCACTAAGACCCTTGCCAGACCTTAATATACTTGTGCTATTGGAATCTGTGGAATTTTATGCCTGATTCAAAAAAATGCACAACTATCACACACATAAATGTCCTCAGAACCTAACTGTGAGACTGACAGCAGGCAGAGAGCCTGAGGCTGCCCCCTGCCCAAAGCCCATAATTCACTGATGGCTGGGATCAGGCATGGGGCAGCCCTGGGGTCCAAAACACCGCTTGCCCAATCCCTGAAATCATGCACAGGGCAGGGGCATGCTGGACCTGAAGGCTACCCCCTGCACCAACATGTTTCCTGCTTTGATCTTCAGTGCAAAATAGAAAATGTGTCAGAGTACAGAAAGGGAAGTCCATCCACTTCTTGTGCTCTGGCACTTAAATGGCTTGCTCTGCAGCCTCACATGTGGGCTGCAAGGCAAGGCAAGAAATATGCTGGGCATATGGGGAGCATACTGGAACCCCATGCCCCAGTACTTTTAAATGCCTTGCTCTGCTGCCCTGCTTGTTCACCATTTTATGGCACCATAAATTGCTTGAACGTGTGGTACGTTCCAATTTATCACACAATTAACTTATTAATCATGCATTAAAAGGTAATGTCTGCCAAGGGCCTACATAATTATACCAAGGAATACCTCCTTCAGCTCCATGTGGCCCAATGCAGGGAAGGGACATAAGGCTGACAGAGCTCAAGAGACGGGAGGTACCTGTCACTAAATAAAGAGGGACTACACTATGGCCCACACTCTTAATACAGGAGAGATGTGTACGGATGTCTCCCGATTGCTACAGACATGGGGCACAGGGCACTGGCTCCTGCTGTTACTAGGAGATGGCAATCAAAAGGTAGGCTAATGTTTATGAGAAAGCATTCCTGACTTGGCCTGTTTGTCAGTATTTAGATGTGGTCAACTGACATTATTTGGCCAGTCAACTGACCAGCTTGCCAATCCTAGAAGTATCTAGGTCTGCAGTCTGAGACAGCACTATTCAAAGGAAGTAATAGTGAGTTGCTGCTTTGATGACCCCTAACTTTAAGGGCTATAAAATATCAATATGTAAGTTATAATGCAATAGTTTAGAGCCTAATGTAACAAACATTTTTTTAAACAGAAAAACAAAAATACTTAGAACTAAAGTAGTAGCATAAAATACTTAAGCCAACTTACTTGTAATGACCATCACTTTTGAGAATATAGCTTTACTGCTGGCATCTGTCTGCATGTCACAAAAATAAAAAAAATATGCTTAAAAGTGAAGATTTGATACTATATGCTTTCAATTAGAGACAGTGCAAGCTTAGTTGTCATAACACCGTATCATAAGTTGGGAATTAGAGCAGTGTACTGTATGTAAAAAGTAATGCAACATCAATTTAAAACCCATATTTAAAGTCAACTTAAATTCTGACATCAACAGCAACATACCTGCCTAGTATATATGCATATCTTTAGATAGAAAATTTAATACCTTAACTAATAACCAAAGTGTTTTATAAGCAATGAAACTGAATTACTTCCATATGAAAGGTTGGGGGGGGGAAGGGAGAGTATACAACTTTTTGTATTTAAGTATGACCCTAACATTTCATTTAGCATTTTTTGTATTTGATCTTCCTGTGCAGGTTAGCATATAACAGGTTCCAGCCAAGTTCACGCTTCACTAATGAATGCACAAGTTCATGCCTTAGTTGTCACTGCTGTTCAGCTGAAAGTTATTTTGAAGGATCTGGGAAAGTGGAAGCCTGTTTTCAAGTCTTCCACTTGGACCCACTAACCAAAAAGCAACCACAGTAAGACTGAAACTTCAAGCATTCTGGAGACCTGTGCTACCAATCTTTCCATCAAACATTTACAACCTCCTACTAAACTGTCCCAGTACCTGCTCATAAGCCTACCAGATAAGACAGGTAAAAATGCACATGTAGTATCAGAAAAAGATTAAGATTACTGTTTACTGCTGACTCAAATGAGTAAATTTCAGAATCCAGTAGCTCACACCAGAAATTAGGCCTCCTTTGCTAGGCATGGGAATTCAGTAAAGAAAAAAAAAGCATGTCTCAAATTCATTCACGTATAAAGCCACCAGTTTATGGCTATTAGAAGTCCTCTATAAGGTTTTCCCCCTTGGCCCCACCACCACAGACTGTTTCTGGAGTTAATTTTTTTTTTTTTTTTTGGTAAAAGCAACATGCCAATGGACTTCTCCCTCCAGATGTCACTCCTGTAGGTAGAAAAAGGAGCATTTTTCCCTCTGTGTTATAATCGGGGAGGCTCTACAGTTTGGGAATTTCCCCTAAACACTTACTTGAGACATTTTAAACACAAGAAAAGTAACCACAAAAACACTACGGAACACCTCCATCTGCAAGAGGGAATAATGCATATCTTGGAAAATGCTGAGATCTATGAATGAAAATAAGTAATTTCAGGACATAATTTAATTATCAAAAAGATGGTCTGGGGTTGCTGCAGATTCTCAAGAGGACTACAAAAATCTGGATTTACAAATAGGAAAAATCTATTTCTATTCATTCTCAAAAATAACAAATCCACTGGCTCCTTAATCAAACAAGGATTACTCTCTCCTGCAAAGTGACTACTTCCCGCACTACTATGTCACTCTGCTGAGCCTGATTTATAAAACTTGGAAAAGATATGCAAGAAGACTCAAAACACTGTCTTATAAATCTCTTCACTGACACTCTGACTAAACTTCAAGTGTGAAAGTCATGACTAGTTATGAGCTTTATTGAATCTAGGAAGATGTTTTGCTTTGGAGATAAACAGCACAGTTACCATTAAGCTGAACATTTTTTTCCTGTTAAGGAAGTAATTGTTCCTTGGATAAAAGTAACAGCCACAGTAAACAAGCCAAAAAAAGAAATAAAAATTCACTGTGGACACCTCAGAAAAACAGTTTAAAATAGCTAAAAAATAAGGCTTACCCTAAGAAAAAATGGTGCAAATGAGATATTTAAACAGGTGAAACAAACATCTGAGCTTTATTCTTAAAAGGTTCTCACCAAGAAACATAAGCCTAAAAAGGGCAAGACAGAGCTCAGGGTCTGCTTATGTGAAATCTAAAACCTATTAATGGGGAGACAGGATGACTGGGAGCAAGAGAAATCATGCTCAAATTTCATTATTAGAGGAAATTTCTTATAATTAAAACAAGAGGTTCCCTTCAAGCCATACAAGCTCTGGAGCCAAAAGAATGTCTATTCACTATGATTATTTTGAAACTGTCCATGTAAACTGGTGTAATTTTAAAAGGGAACGCCTTTCAGCCTCTAATTAGTCAGAGAAAGTTTCTTAATTTAGCAACTGACTTGGCCAGAAGCTATGGGAAAGGGGCAGAAGAATCTTAAATTCTTCTATTTGCCTACCAATATGCCCGGACCCATGCTGGCATTGCAAGAGGTTTGGGTTTTTTTAACTTCTTTTAACATACATTAAACCAGAAGAAATCTCAAGAAGATGAAGGTTCCAAAGCTGAGAATGGCCCAAACCATTTAGGGCCTTAGTTGACAAAACCAGCACCCTGAAATGTGCCCAGAAACCTGTAAAGACTGGAACACTGGACTTGTGCTCCTGGCAACCCACCCTTGTCAGAAGGCAGGCTATCATCATTTGCATCATCTACAGCTTCCAAACACTTTAAGGGCAGTCCTACTTAGAGCACATTACAGTAGTCTAGCCTGAAAGATACAAAGGCCTGGATGATGGTGGCAAGATCTGAATCTGAAAGAAGCAGATGCAGCCTTGTCTCCAGATAGAGCTGGTGAAAGGCATTCCTAGCCACTGCTGCCACCTGAAGATCCAAGTGCAGCGGAAGATCCAGGAACATTCCTAGACTGCAAACCTGACCAGAGATGCACGTTACAACCTAAGTCGGTGGTTAGTCTACCAATGTCAGCATTTGCTTTATTTCTATTTGAATCTCTCCAGAGCTGCAATTTCCTTACATTTTCCATCCTACTGGAGCAGAGATATTTGCTCAAACCAAAAATGTGGACATCTGGTTGCTGTTCTTCTTTCAAATCAGGCAGGTTGATAGGTCTGTTACTTGAGCCAGTATACAATTACCACTTGAAAGCTCTCTTCACACCTATCCTAAGATATGGAATCACCGAACTCGTAGGTTTCCTCACAAAATGAGATCAAGGCACTACTTTCTTTCTAGGAAATTTATTATAACATTCACACTAAATGATCATGGAATCATACAAGAGAAGCTGAAGAACTAGAGAAACAGTTAATTATGCTTTGGGCCTTCGGAGCAGCATGGTGCCTCTTAAAGCCCAATGCTTCTCACTTGGAGCAGAAAAAGGAAATTCCAGATTTTACATGAACAGGGAATCTTTAATGGATCTATAACAATGTTTCTCAACCTTCTGAGGCTGACGGCACCCTCCATAACTCCTGTGAATTGAGTGGTTCCCCAGTTCAATACCTAATTTATTTACTGCAGTACTTAACTCCAGGGGGAGGGGAGATGAGGAGGAGGAATAAACCTTTTGCTTCCCACAGAGCAGTGGGGCAGGGACAATTATGAGCTTACCTCCTTGCACTGGATCCAAGCACTTTTGACCCTGTGCTTAGCATATTATATGGAGAAGTGGGTAGGAACGAACACTTCAGTATACACGCAGGGGTCGGCAGGGACAAGTGTGAGCTTACTCAGAGATGAGCCTGCCCTTACCTCCTTGCATAGAGGTCAGGCAGGGAAAAATGAGTGCTTATCGTCTTGCATGCTACAGCACCCTCAAAACTTCATGACATTCCCTATTGAGAACTACTGATCTAAAGCAACTGCCTCATTAATTCAGAGAACAAGATCAGATGTGGCACTCACCTTGCCACAAAGTATAGAAAAGTAACTCAGAATTCTGCTTATCATAGGCTTCCAAAATCCACTTCCTTGAAGGTTTGTGTTTCTTTGTTTTGTTGTTTTAATATCTTCAGAAAAATACTCCTCTCTCGGGGATAGGCAACCCCCACCACGAGTGCCAGAGCATGGTACACAAAGGCATTTTACTTGGCATGTGTGCCTCTGGGTGGACAGCAGGGAAGGGTCCAAGTCTACACTACCACGACAAGGACTGGGACACCTCATGGCTCCCACACCATCCACCCCAGCACAACAACATCTTTTGAGTCAAGGATGCAGGTGTTTCTGGCACTGCCTAAAAATGTTGCCTACCCCTTTCTTGTCCTTACTGTTTGGACTCTTCCAAAGGTTTAAATACAGGTTTTGGATAGAAGAACAGGCATTAATAGTTAAGTGAAATGTGTTAAGGCAAGAAATAGCCACATTTCTTGCTTCTAGCTTGTCTGCCAGCTCAAAATGGGGGAAAAAAGGAATATCCATACATGCAGAACTACCAAGGCAGTAGGTTTAAAAGACAGGAAAACCCTTTATCCTTGCCTCCTGCCTGAAAGGGAATGTGTTACGGTCATACTAATAGAAACACTGGAGTCTGCATATTTTTATTAGCAATAGAGATACAGCAAGAAAACTTTCTGTATAGTCTTCTGTCAAAGGTTCAACTGTTTGACTTGAGAAGGGGAACCAAGGTCCAGGAGAATCCTAACATGGTGAAAGCAAAAGGAAACAGCAGGCCCTGAACTGTGTTACTGTTATAGATGGACATGGTAACAGCTGTAATGGAAGCATGCTCATCTCAGGGGAACTGGCATCTATTCTTACAATGAAAAGATACTAAAAGCTTCATTAAATACAGCCACAAAAAGATCTCTCTGAAGAGAGAAAAAATTTGCTTCGAATACGTCAAAAGGTTGCGTGATTAGTCCTACCAGTCTAAAAGCAACACCTCTGAGAAATAAACCCACAATTAAATAAGCATTGTGTGTGTAACATTTCAAATTCTGGCCCAAATATTCTACTGATTCAGGCCTCTGGCAAATATTAATCACATCTTGATTAGTAACCTAGCCATGTGTTCATGTAATTAATGGCACAGTAAAACAAGGAATATGCCACCTTAAACTGAATATGGGGCAGGGTCCTGGGAACAGCCTCAGTATGGTCCCAGAGCTGAGACTGACAAGCAGCTGATAGTTGGTCTCACCTCCAAAACTGCATCAATTCACTGGGCACCTGGTTTTCTACTTGCCAGTACAGAGGGAGCCCGCAATCACATAGTAATGGTGCAACTGAGATCTGATTCAAAAATCGCACATCCCATCATGCATGTGTGAAATGGCAGAAGGCACAATTATTGGGATCAAGGACAGATCCATCATACCATGAAATGAGCATGTTCCAGGGGTCTCAGTGACTCAAATCTCCCTTAAGTTGTCTAGAAGTGAAACAGATGTACCCAATTGGTTTAATTTTCCCAACTGCTTTTAAAGGGAGTTTTTGGATTTTTTTTTGTATCGTGCATCATACTTTTCAGTGCACTCTAATCCTTCACTGCAATACTACACTTGATTTTAAATGCAGCAAAATAAGAACAATGATTATGACTGCAATCCTAATTTGGTTCCTATTCACAAACAACAGTACAGTAATAGATAAGAAACATTTATTGAACTGTAAGGTTCAATCATTTGCAAGAGCATGAAACAGTCCACATAGGAGATATACTGATACTTGTAGAAGTACATGAGTTATGGGAAAAGGCAGCAATTAATTTCAGCTCTTTACACAAATAGCTTGTCCCTGGAATGAATGACAATTAAAACTCAACATGAGTTTTAGTTCCCAGTTCTTACAAAGTACTTAAAAAAGTACTTAAGTGGGACAATGACCTTGTACATCTGTAAGATCCCAGGATAAAAACATTTATCCAACAAGAAATCCTACATGTGTATTTACCCAAACATATGCACATATAAAACTCTGTACCTGGTGTCAAAAGACAAAAGAGAGGTTGTGGAATCTCTATCCTTGGAGGTTTTTAAGACCTGGCTAAACATAGCCTTGGCTGGGATGATACAGTTGGGAAGGTCCTGCTTTGAGCAGGGGGTTGGACTAGATGACCTCCTGAAGTCCTTTCCAACCCTAATTTTCTATGATTCTGTGATTAAATAGATGGGACTGATTCAAGGTTTTGTTCATACTTAAAGATTTTCTTCTATTATTTGAAAACCACATTTTGCAGAATAGTTCCAATTTTGGAGAATCAAAGTGAAATGGATAAAAACCTTTTGGTTCAACTGCTAAATTGAATGAACTGCAAAAAGAACATAAATATTAGAAGTTTAATTTATTTTATTATTACATTATTTAAGTAGTGATTATTAATAGTTAGGAAAATAGTTTATTCTGTCACTGTTGCTTTTATATTTTTCTAAATTAATAATGCCAGGCATTCACATTTGCAACTGAATGAACATTTGCAATAATAATGGGAAAAAATAAACCTATAAAAAGAGGAGTATATTATATGCAAATATTGTATACATTTTGTCATAAATCAGAATTACACCTGGAGAAGAATGGCTTGCATTCCAAAGCTCGTCTTCCTTTATCCCAACTATCAGCTAACTCACGAATACCCCTCCATCCAAAAGAAATGCATGTTGCTATATCAAAGATAACCAGCAAATGAATTTTATTTAGCTTCCAAAAACACTTCATTTCTCTTGCTAAGAATGAGAAATGTCAGTCAAACAGTAATTGTTTGAGATCAGTGGTTTTCAAACTGTTCTGTGGACCCCTGGGGTTCTGCAAGAGGTCATCAGGGGGTCTGTAAAGAGAATGGGGGTAATGATGGAGCAGGCCGGGTGGCCGCATGCCACCCTTGGGAGATTAGATTGCCTGGCTTCACATAAGTCTTCAGAATAGAGTAGGGGTGCTGAGACAGAAGTTATATATGAAGTTGTATATGAAAAGGTTCTGTGACTTAATGAAGTTTGAAAACTATTGTTCTAGAACTAAACCTAAGTTTGTTCTATTAGTAAATCACAGAGACTATACACAAAGATCAAACTTACTTTGGGCTGTTTAATTAAGTCAACCAAGTCCTTAACCTGGTGTCGTAGCAGATTTTGACATTTCCACATTTCATTCAATGCTCTGAAGTGAAAAAAAGTAGTTAACAAACACTACTGGGCAACATATTATTAACCTGCAACACATAAAAAGCCTTCAACTGCAATTGACTTAATAACCTGGAAGGCAATCAGCACCTTAAGTTTCACTGCACACCTAGACATAGATTTAAAATGTTTCCTAATAGAAAAGTAAGGCATTTAAATGTTCAATTTTTAATTTAAAAAAACAAAAAACAACAAAAAAAAAACCTTTCATTGGTATTGGATTGAATGAATTTCCTATTACTTTCATTGACAAAGGACAGTGAAATTTACGTGTGAACTATAAAGAGCTCTTATGTCTAGAAGTCTGAGCTCATCTATCCCAATCACATTTCAACGTATATTACAAAACACAATAGTTCACTGGTTAAATGCAGTTATCTTCTTTACTAATCTTATTTACAAAATTAACAATTTCAGATTGTGCAATTTTTAAGGGGAATCTTAGGCACAATATAAAAGGGAAAAAATTCAAACCTTTGCAAGGGCTAATCTACATTTTTTAATAAGTTCTTCCACCAGAAGACCATAATCCATAAAATGTCTTCCAGCTCCGAGTTAAAGAAAGTTTGTTCTTTTCAACTTCTAAATATATTTAATTTTGAAATATACACTGCTATACTATAGAATAACAACAGCAGTTGCAGAATAAAAGTTTTTCTCTTGTTCTTGCCCAAAGTAACTACTGGGAGAGGTGAGGAGCTTTTGTTCTTAAAGTCGTAATTTATTTTCAGTCCAAGTTTTAAGATGCACGTCAAAACATTTTAACTTAAACCACAGAGAATTATTTTACTGTAATGTTAAACTTAGCTACCTAAAAAATGCTCTTGATTAATCTAAAGCTATATTATAGCACTGCAGCACTAATCAGAGGACAATGTGGCCAATATAGAAGCTTGAAGCATCAACTTCCGCAGCATTTAAAAGCATTCGTTTGAAAAAATATGTACCCCTCAGAATGGTTAAACAAAACAAAACAAAAAACCACACTTCCAAAGGTGATCCAGATATAAACAAATAAAGAACCGTATTTACTTGAATACAAGACAATTTTCCTCCTCCCCCTCAATCAGCATGGGAAAAAGGTTGCTCATCTGACATTTGCACACAAGGAAACCTCATTAACAGAGATCCATGTTTTCCGTTTCCCACAGGAAAACAGTAAACTGAAGATTTTACCTTTTACAGGAGGCAAACGCAGATTTCTCATTTTACCAGAGAAGCCCACAGATTTTGCAGTTTTGTGATGAGCACCCTGCAGACTGGCAGAGTTCCAGCCTGCAGGGGCTGGGAGGGAGCAGGAGGAGGGCAGTCAGGCTATGAAGCTGATTAAATGCAGCCAACACCAAGCATGACTATAAAACACATGTTCATACTGGGGTGACTGCAGTCCTTAAAAAAAAAAAAAAAAAAAAGGCAGTTGCACCAACCTGGCAGTACTGCAATACCAGACCAGCACTTGGAAAGGCAGGAGAAAGCTCAGACATCCTCCCCTGGTACCAAAAATGTTGATGAAAACCTACTACAAGGACAGGTTAGTGTAGCCCCTCTGAACAAAATGAACAGCAGTAGTGTCCATTAGTCACAGTCCCCCCAGCACTGACAATTTTTCAGGTCATAGTGAGCCACTACTGCATACATTTTTACTTCCTCTTCACTCCCACAGCTGAGCTGTGCCTTTCTTTCCCAGTTCCAATAATTCCTGTTTCCTCACCAGCCTTATGTGTCTGGCAAACATCACCAAATGGGTCCCCAAATAGTTAACCAAAAATCCCTCTGTTGCCCCCTCTCTCAGCCTGCCACATATGATTAGTGTGGCCACACCCTGCATGAGGTAGAACTGGATCATGCTGAGCAGTGGGGTCATCATGGCTTGAAATGCTGTTGACTCTGCTGAGGCACAGCCCAAATAACTATAGGGTAAATCAGCCTTTTGAATTTGTACTATATATAAAGTACATACAAAAATGCTGCTTAAAAGTGTTTTTTATGGAGTACCCAAGCTAAAAATCACAGCAGTTTTAAAAGAGGTAAACTGCATCAATTCTGGATGAACTAAGTCTATGGGTACTATATGCAAATTACTACAGCTATGTTTATTTCAAGGTCAGTTGTTTTCAAATTTGCTCATTTCCATGTGATCCAGGAGAGCAGGATCTCATAATATGGAGGGGGTAAAGGGGCTGAAAGGGAAAAGTTGAGGGGAGGGGCAGAGGGCAAGGAGGCTGCCTGACCCCCATACTTATTTTCCCTGCTGTAGCAGTGGGCAAGGGACAAATTCAAGCCAAACCTCCAATTATTAGAGCTTATACCTGGAAAACTATGACACATTTATCAATTTTACATATATAGAATCTAATGATTGAGGGAGTCATCTTACAATCAGGGTCATCTTATAGTCAAGTAAATACGGTGCTATTTTTCCAGAGGCTGCAGACTCGCCACACTGACAAGTAGGAGCAGAGTGAATTTAACAAGACTGAGTCAAATTCTGAACACTGGAGACAGCAGTAAAACTACTATTAATCATGTCAAATTTATGCTTCTCTTGAAAAAACTGTAAAAATCATAAGACCCAAGGACTTCAGTGTATAAGACAGATACAGCCAAAGTGAATGTTGTAGGATAAACAACGCCAACTTTCCCCACTCTCTCCCCTTTGAGGAACCAGAGGCAGGGGGGGAAGGAAGAAGCAGCAGAAGTAGAACATTGGGGAACAAACTGCCAAGTATAAAACATGGAACAAAACCCTTCTAAAAGCCTGTGGTACCTCCTCCTTCCCAGAGGCTATGGGGAGTTTCATTTAGAAGCAAAATATATTTCCACTGCTATTGTGACAAGAAGGTTTTCTTTTGTTAGTATGTATCCTGATTTTTCCCCTAAGCCCCAAGTGAATGCTATCGTAACTGATACAGTATGACAAGATTTTTCCACTATGAACTGATCTAGATATACTTTTTGCAGAAACTAATGGAATACAGTGGTTATGCTTTCTATTAATAGTTGCTTAAAAAGAGGTATCATCTTACAAAAAGCGAAACTCAAAGATTAAGCGACTTGTCTAAAGCCACAAAATTCAGAGGCAGAAGAGACTACACAAGAACCCAAATCTCCTTCTTCCCCAGTCAGCAGACACCTATCCAGGTTTGTTAGGATCACTATATTTAAAATTCTTTTAAGTAACTATAAAGCTTAAAAATATTATCTGAAAACATACTTCACAGCATTTGAGTCCAGTGTTGCATAAAGGTAATACAAACATTTCATTCGTTCATTTGTTTCCAAATTGTGTGGGACCATATACTGCGCAAAGATGCGTTCAACAAGCAATCTGAAAAACAACATTCAGAAAGAACTTTAGCTATAAAACAGCAAGGTGCACTTACAGTTAAATTACTAAGCATTCATCCAAAAAAATTCCCCAAACTACTCAGCTATTGTAAAGTTTGAACATAAAATCAGGTCCTGGTTAGGAATTCATCATCTCAAGCTGAACTTGAGTACTGCAGCAGAACTAAAAGATGACTCTATTAACACAATACCACACAAAAGATTATTTTAACCCAGAAGCAAGGAATTAAGACTGAAGGGAAGTAACTAGAGAAGTTGCTCAAGGATCAGGCTTTGGGCTGATGTTTAATATTTTCATTAATTACCTTAGCAGAAAAACCCCAGGTTTGTACTAATGAAAACTGCTGATTTTATAAAGCTAGAAAGGCATCATCAGCACAGAAGACTAGGCTACTGTGCAAGACTGTCTGGTTGATCCTGATGACTAGGGTTTATAGAAAAGGGGTAAAATTCTATAGTATAAAATGTCAGGCCACGCACACAGCATTGAAAAATGGGCTATTATAAGTTGCAAGGAAACTTAGTAGTTGGAAATGACTTGAGAAGGACATGTATGACCTAATTGATCATAGGATGCTTATGAACTGCAAATGTTATGCAGCCATAGGATTATTAACTGCTTATGGACATTAAAAAAAAACAAAACAAAAAAATGGTGCTTTCCTTTAAAAACTCAGCATGCTCCCACACTGAGCATGGTACATGCCCAGAAGTGGTATAGAGTTAGTTGGAACCAGCTCATTCAATGTCTGTATAGATCAGGTGCTTTAGTGGGGCTTTTTTGGTGCTTTTATATAATAGCTGATTGAATCAGGTTTAGATAAAAGCGCCAAAAAGCCCCACTGAAGCACCCGATCTACAGACACTTTGGAGCTGGGTCAAACTAAAATGCTGCTACTTCTGGTAAACCTTTTTTTTTTTTTTTTTTTTTTTTTTTTTAAAGTGTCTGTAAGCAGCCATCATTTGTAGGGCTGGAAATGACCTCATTAAGTCATCTAGTCCAGTGCCCTGCTCAAGGCAGGATCATCCCTGACTAAACCATCTCAAATCAAGCATCTGAAAATTTCCAGAGATGAAGACTCTACAGCTTCCTTAGGTAGCCTGTTCCAATGCTTGACAACCCTCATAGTCAAAACGTTCCTCCTAGTTTCCAACCCAAATTTCCTCCGTTGCAGCTTGAAGCTATTGCTCCTAGTTCTATCCCGTACAATCACAGAGAAAAGGAAATCTCCAACCTCTGCATACTTGCCCTTCAGGTGTTTCAGACTTGTCAAATTCTCCCTTAGTCTTCTCTTCTTCAGACTAAATAAACCTAGCCCTCTCAGCCTTTCCTCATAAGTCATGATTCCCACACCTCTAGTCATTTTGGTCGAACTCTGCCAGACTCTCTGCAATCTGTCTGCATGCGTCTTGAAGTGCGGGGCCCAAGCTGTACTCAGTACTCCAGGTGAAGCCGCACAAACGTCAACTAGATCTGAGGAATTGCTTCCCATGATTTGCAAGTGATCCTCCTGTTAATATAACCCAGGATGCTCATGGCTTTTTTTTTTTTTTTTGCAACAAGAGTACACTGTCATCTCATATTAGATTATAGCCCACTGGAACCCCCAGGTCTCTCTCCAATACTGTGGTCTAGCCAATCATTCCCCAATCTGTAAATGTGCATGCCATTACTCCATCCCTAGCTCAGGACTGCACTTGAAGGTGACTGATTTTGGACCATTTCTCCAGGTAATTTCTGATCCTAACCCTACCCTCCAGAGTACTGCAATTCCCACTCAACTTTGCGCCACATGCAAATTTGCTAAATGTGCACTCAATCCCATCCTTCAAATCAATGACCATTTTTTCCTCCTCTAAATAAATGAAAGAGGCAAATGCAATCCTAAGATGTCGGTTTCAGTATCTTTTATTAGAGAGGCATGCAATAGTTAGGTCTCTCCTGAAATCACATGTGCAATTCTGGTCACCCAGAGTCAACAAATATGCATTAAAATAGTATGCGTAGACAAGATGTACTAGGTTAATCATGAGAACAGAGTATAAGAGCTTCATTAATTTAGCCTAACAAAAGGAATGCTCTCAGAAAATACCGTATTTATTCACATACCACACATACCCTCTCCCCAAAAATCATCCCTCCAAAACTGGGATGCATATCTCGAGTGAGGAAGCTCATTTCTGTACTTGAATTGAAGCATAACCATGCTGTAACAGCTGCCAGGGCTCTGTTTTTCCCCAATCAGAGAGGGAGCGGCAAGGTACAGTCTTTAGGTCATACGTTTAATCCTTTCATAGCCACTGCCATATCAGCAATACCTCTGTTGAGCAGCCAAAACTTGCTGCCAATTCAGCAGTGGCTACAAGAGGGTTAAAACTGCAATTTTCAGGATTCAGCCATGCTGTCAGGATGCCTTGTGGTTCGGATGCAGTCATGATTCTAGAACATTTTTCTTTTGTCTAGCATGGATAAAACATGCTGGTTTCTATAAATAATGGCACACAAGGGAGCAATGTAGCTGCATCATGTCCAACTGCTATTAATTCTTTATCCCTAATAATTAAGTACCTATTTGCAGCTGGATTGACTGGCATCAAGCCTTCAGAACAAAGCTCAAACTCATGCATCTGCATCTGAAGGAAGAAAACTTAAGAACTCAGTCACCATGCTTTTTTGACTATATGGGCAGGAGGAGGCCTGCAGGCCACATCCAGCCTGAGAGGGGTTAACACAGGCCCCTGGCTCCCATCTGGTCAGTGCTGTACCCTCATTGTTCCACCTGCTATGGCAGCAGCAGCTGGAGTCTTTGGGGCAAAACAGCACAGCAGGAGACCAGGTGAGCTTGCTGCCCCACACTGCAGCAGGTAGCAACAGCAAGGGAAACTTGGGTGGGGGGCTTGGGCTGCTCACACAACAGGCAGGAACAGAACTGGTGTGTGTGATAGTGGAAGCAAAGTTGGAAGGCCACATGGAAGTGGCAGTGGGGGACTCATGCAGTGAGAGTCCTGGGAAGCCAATGCAGCCTATGCCCACAACTTATACAGCCCTCAGATTCTCTGAAGTTGGACAGCCCTGCAATACTGCATATTTTTAAACATTTCCATAAATCATTTGGGTCTACAGATTTATAGACAGCTGCAATATATAAACTGAATAAATTCAATGAGGGAAGTAACTTTCTGTAGAGTAATTAGAGATAAGCATGAGAGACCAAAAATAGTAGTTGAGACCAATTCTCTTCTATTGAAGCAATACTGAAATCCATAGAAGTACTCTGGATGTAATCCTATCAAGCCCACAGCTTCCATGAATATTTCTGGGTTTTAAAATCAAACAAAGCACAACTTGGTTCCATCCATTTTAACCTAGGTTGAACTATAATTTACTGGATGATAGAAGTATGAAATTTTCTTTTTGTAACTGTTGGTCACAACGTAAATATTGAGGTTAATTCATTTGAATATAAAAGTCTCTAATCTTCAAAATTTAGTAAAACTGACCTACCGATCATCAATACTGTTTTGGTAATATATATGTAGCAGTTTGTCCTTGATCCATGAAATCTGTTTTGCAGCTTCTTTTCCTGCTTCTGACTGCAACGAATATTTCTTGTATATTTGAGCAAGTCCCATCATAGCTTCTTTTCTCACTCTCCACTAAAAAAAAAAAAAAAATTGTATTTTTAAAACTTAAAAGTTACTCTAACAAATTTTAGATTAGTAATTCCTGTTCTTTCATTCTCTTCAAAACTGAAATGGCAATTTTAATTGGGAAAACGTTAACTAAAAAAACACAACACAAAAAAAAACCCACTTTACTGAATTTCATTATGTTTACTACATGGAGAAATGTTTATTATTTATTATTCTATTAGCTGCTACCAACACTTTCAATATCATCCATAGCTAGAAGGCAAATAAAATCAGCTACATAGCAAATGACAAATCCTCTGGAACTGAAGCAATTATATTTCTACTAATGAAGTATTTTTTCCTGAGATCTATATTGTATATCTACCATTATTTTGTCTGCAACAGGGGAAAACATGCCTTCAAATAAAAAAAAAATTAAAAAAAAAAAAATCAGAGAAGGATAAAATGGCAATTGTTAAATTTGCCTTTAGAATCCTTGCTGTAAGTGATATAGGGTATATAAGCACACACTATAAAAGGGTTCTCAACCTTTTTCCTCCCAGTCCCATCCCTCCACAGCATGCTATAAAAACTCCGCAGCCCACTTTTGCCACAACAACTGCTTGGCTGCCCAGCCCTGCCCTCAGGGCGCCAGGTACAGTTGGCAGGGTTCAGTGGCAGGGAGCCCCAGGGCTCCATTCACCTGAGCAGCATCACTGTGGAGCATAGCCCACCCCCGCACAAGATGGGGACTGAGGGGCTGGAACCACCTGCACCCCATTCTCAAGACTTGCCTCAGCCCCAGGACTGAGGCGGCTCCTCCCTACACCCAGCCAGGCAGACCCCCTGAAACCTGAAATGAGCACCCACTCTTTAATGCTCAAGGGGCACTGTTACACGTGCTTGGGGACAGGGAGAAAGAGGGTGCCACACTTTAATTAGAGCAGCTTCAAGAGCCAATCTAATTAAAGAAGTGCAGCATCTCATGTATCACCATCCCCGTGCTTCAAAATGGCAGTTGGGGCACTTGCACTAAAGCTCATTCAATGGCTTTAATTCAAGTGCCCCCACTGCCATTTTGAAGCATGGGGACACTGATCCACAATTCACGGAAGGCTGCTGGAGTTCGGCAATTGCCACACTCCAGCAAACTTGATTCATCGAATCAGCTCCACCACGCTGTAATTACAGTGCATTGGAGCGGCCTCCACACACATGTACAGACACTCAAGGACAGGAAGAAAAAGAATAAGTAAATACAGGCAACCCCTGCTTAACAGTATTTCACTTTAACGCTCATTTTAAATTGATACCTGATTCTACTTAGCGCTCAGCATGTTTTGTTATAATGCTTGCAGTCTCCATCTTGGGTCATTAAAAACACTTGTGGTCACCATTTTGGATAGTCAAAAACTTTCAGTTTCACTTAATTCTTGTTTCGCTTAACACTCGCTTTTTCACAAACCAATTACAAGCGCTAAGCAGGGGTTGCCTGTATGCTGTTACACTATACTGCAAAAACTGAAAGGAGGTAGAGTTTTCCCTAGTTCTCTGAGAAATGCACATCAGTGTCACCAGATATTTTCAGCCATCAGGCAATGAAAAGTATCCTTTCAGTCTATTTTACTTTATTACACTTTACAATAATACAAAAATTTTGTCATCATTTGGAATTCTTATTCAATTTAACAATTCTTTACACATTTTTTAGTTTTTATAAACTGTTCACACACATATCTATATTAGCTTCTTGACAAAGCATGCTTTTTCTATAAGAAAGGATACCAAATATGATATTTGAAATTAAACTTGTTATAATTAACCATTACTAGTACTATTGTACATCTCACCCGTTTGTCTAGCGTCCTCTCTCTCACAAAATTAAGTAGATGATCATTGACAAGCAAAAGATCTTTTTTAGCAGCAGTCACTATGGACACAATAACATCATGCCTAATGGCTTCTTCTGGGTCATGTGACCTTACTTTAAGATATTCTGAAAGGAAAAAAAGAAACCACATTATAATTAAAATTAAATATGTATGCAGCTTTAACATGTTTAAATACCTAAAGCCTGGTTAATTATTTTAGAAACACGACTATAAAAGACGGACATATTTCACACTTTCAAATATCAAGTGCAAAGTCACTACATTTCTCATTAGGCTGGATTAGATACAGATGTTAGTTAAATAACTAGTTTTTTGTTCAGGCTGTAAGTGCATTGATAATTTAGTCAGACAAGGTTCCTTGGGTGAATTTGATATCTTTTATTAGACCAACTCAAATAGTTGGAGAATAGTTATTAAGCAAGCTTTCGAGTTCAAAAACCTTTCGTCAGGCTAAGGAAGTTTCAGCAGTTGGTGTGTGCTCTTCCTGGATGGAATGAAAAGTAAAGAAGCCAGGGGCTGGGCTGGGAGTCAGTTGCCAGGCAGATTATAATGTATCAAATTAGTTAGATTTCAGAGTCAAATCGGAGTAAATTAGGAAACAAAAATATCTTCCTGAATTCAGTCTCTCTAACTGATTGTGATTGGTCCCCGTTATCATTATCCCCTATCCTCTATTCTTTCACACTGTGCAAGACTTCTGCTTCTAGGACTGTCTAAATAGTTTTAGGCAGCCATAAAACTACAAACACAAATAGAGGATGCTGTTAATTTTTTGCTTTTTTCTTTTAGTACCACATTTACTCGAATCTAAGACATTGAATTTAAGACAACCCTCCCAAAATTAAATTCTATACATGGAGAATTTATAAACGTTACAATTTTCCATGAGCAAAATCTAATTATTAGAGAGTTATCTTTAATTCATCCCCCCCACCACTGCAAGGGGCAGGTAGAATGGGGAAGTCAAACAGAGGGCAAGCTGCTTGTGCCTGCCCCTCTTTAGCCTCCACCTCTGCTCCCCCTCCTGCCCCACTCCCATTCAATCTCCTTGTCTCCCACATTCCTCTGCTCCCTTCCTCCCCCACTTCCCCTTCAACTTCAGCTCCCCTCCTGGTTACCCTTTCTCCATGCAGCAGGCTCTGTCCCTGTTCTGATCTGAGGCATGGTGCACAGCCCCAGACCAGCCCCTGCAGCAGCTGTGCAGGCTGCAGACCACTGCTATGAAGCCCGGCTGGGGACATACTCTGTGCCCCATGCAGCAATACAGATGGAGCCTGCTAACAGAGCAAAACTAAGGAGGAGATGAAGAGGGGCAAGCAAGGGAGCAGAGACTGCATGAGGGGGAGGGGAGAAATGTTGGGGTGCAGAGGCAGTGAGGAGGAGGGAGAAGGGGGGCAGGCAACAGCTGCAGCTACAGCCCCAACCCAGGGTAGGGGCCAGAGCCCAAGCCACAGCAGCTGCCTGCCCCACCACTACTCTTGTACTTGATTTTAAGACAAGGGTCTCCCCTCCCCCCATGTTAAATGAGGAGGGGACACCTCATTTTAGGATCACGTAAATACAGTAAATATATTTAAAATTAATTTCTCCTCCTCCTTCATATCAGTAATTTGTAAGAACACCTTTCTACAATTGCTTAGAGCAGCAGTGCTCACAGGCCAGATGAGTGGCACGTGGCTTGTCTGCAGGCCCAATCACACCCTGGGGCCTGGAACCACCCCATCCAGTCCCCCACACACCTTATTTGGGTCCTGGGGCTCATTGCTGTCCCCGTCCAGACCTGCATGCTAGGTTCAGATGCGGGATCAAATGCACAGGACTTGGGGATCATCACAAGTCCAGAGATTTGGCAGCAGAGAAGTACCACCACTGCCCCACCACCAAATTTCTAGGCCCATGGGGAACCCTAAGGTCCAGATGACACAGCACTGCAAGTTAAAGCTTAAGCACCCCTGGCTTAGAGAATCAATAGTGAAATTAGAGTCACAGAACAAAGTTTGTGCACGGCTAATAGTGGCTACAAATAATTATATTCACCTCACTCTTCAATGATCATAAAAACATAAGTTGTGCCATCACAAAATTCCCAACACAATCACCACTGGCATTTAGCAGAAATACCAATTACATCTAGAAGTAAAGTCCAAACTCATACCTACAGAGGCTTTAAAACTAAAATGCCAATTAATAGGCAAACTCGTTTTTTAAAAAACAACTTTCAGCCAAATAATTCTTAAGTCATCTTCAACTACAGCACACAGTAACAAAAAACAAAACTCAACAGGGACATATTATTCAAAGAGTTCTATTCTAGAATTAAGTGAGGAGTTTAGAATTTTTTCAGGGACTCAGGCTCAACCAAATAAAAACCCAATCAAAAGTGACTGCTCTCCATACCCCAATGCTTAATGCTGTAGACCAGAAAGTCTGGTACCAGAAGAGCAGAAAAAAACTTCAACACATGCTTCTGCTACAAGTGAAAGGAATGTCATCATCACCCTTTCTGTTAGAAAAGGGCTACAAAGATTTTACAAAAATTTTGGTTAGGGGCTTTAACTATATTAATACTAATACTTCATAATACATTCTGCAAAAAATGTGCAAGGAGTAGTGATCATATACTGTTAAATAAATAAAAGATAAGTAAACTGGACCAGACTCTTCATTTTCACTGGCTTTCATGTTTAGATTCTTTGTAAAAATTACTTTATTTCAAAACCTCATTTTCCCAAATGCTGTGAAACCACAACAGTGGCCAGATACCTGATTCTACTATGTATTATCTTTCAGAACACAAGCATGCTTTTTAATATTTTAAACTTTGTAATAAATTGGTACCTGTTAAATCTTTTGCTAGATCTGGATGGTTCATAAGGCAGTGGCTAGCAAATTTCACACACTCAAGCCGGATAGGCACATGGATATCATTAAACCTGTTTTAAAACAAAAACAACCATATTTAATTATAACAAAATGAAAACATCTTGCACTTATAAGTTTTAAATTATTTTATTTCACTTCCATCAAAGTTATGTACTTATTTCTATACATAAAGGACCAAAGGAGTAATAGTCTAATACTAGGTTCAAAACAAGGGAGGGTCATTTTCATATTTCTGCTTAGCTTAGCACCATCCCATTTTCTTTCCCCACATATTAAAATACAGCTCTGCATGTCTGAATCTATTTCTAAGAGTTGTGATGATAAAGTGGCCAAAACAGAATTAGACTACAAGGTTTTTGGACATTAATTAAAGCAAAAGTAACTCCAGAAACTACTCTCTCCTTTTATATTTAGCTTGGGGATGAAGAAACAACCTGCTTAAAAGGAATTATAACAAGCAGTTGCTTTTCTAGCATTCGCTCCTTCCACAACACCCTCCCCCCCCTCCACTTCCTAATTACACCCAGGAAACATTTTGAAAACACTTCTGTTTTTCATATATGGATACATGTACAAGAGATGCCCTTAATTTGACTGTGATAATCTAACTATTCTTGAAAGACCTTAAAAAATGCCTGTATGTGTATAGCTAATTTATCTGCCGAATCTTAAGAGACATATCCTTCCCTGAAGCGCATGCAAAACTTCCGTGACCACAAAACTCCAGTTACTTACACGGGGAAGAATCTATACATTACTTTAAAAAAACATATACACATGGAGTGCCTACTTCTGGAGCAATAATACTAATACTACACCCGTTTTGCCATAATTTTTGGTATCGTAATTCAGTCATTCCGAACAACCCGTTCCTTCTTACACTGAATAACATCATAAGGGAACACTAATAGATCTCAATGGGCACATCTACACATTCATTAATGAGCTTTTGCTACTGTGCATTAAGTTTAGTACCTCTAATATGAGGTACCACCATAAAGGCACATTAGACTGTCCTAATGTGCAGTAGCACAAGCGAACAGTTTTTAGCGATGCTTACAGCACAATTGCCTATTCTACTGCACAGTAGCATATTAGCACATTTTATGTGCCACTTAGAATAGGCTTTTGCACATTAAAGCACACATGTAGATGCACCCAATATTTATCAAATTGGATCTAAATGGAATTTGCTTTAAAAAAACTGTTTTAAAAAACAGCACATTTTCAAAATCAAATCTTAACAGAAGTTTATTAGTGCTTGAAAAGATTAAAAAAACCCAAAACAAAAACATGTCCTTATGTTTGACTTTAGGAATTGTTCCATAATACAAATCACAAATGATATTCTACAAAGATAAACTTTTTTGGGGAAAAATAAAGAGGGTATTTTCAAAATACCATAATATTTTCAAAATACCTTGAATTTAAAATGTACTTATTTACTTCCAAGTTTCCAAATTTAAGACTATGGCATTTTCTAGCAGTTTCCATATATACTGTTAAATGTCTTCTGGCACAAAAGTCTATAATCTGAATGTAATAATTGTACACATTAAAAAAATTTCAGTAAAATTGTTTTCTAAAATGTACATTGTTATGGAAATACAGAATTACCCTGAAGCTGTATGAGAAGTGGGTTTATAAAGGCATTAAGGATTTTATGTCAATAATACAGCTTTTTACCTTTTCTTATTTCAAATGTTTATAAGCAGCTTATTAAAGCAAAGTTTTACTCTTCAAATTCACGACCACCTTAAAGCAGCAGTTATCAATTAGCTCATTGAAAAATATAGGACATGAACAAAAGTATACTTGGAAGTGGCTTTAAAAAGGGAAAGGGAGCTCTATTTGGGAGCTGTGGCAGCTGTTTTCTGGCACCTATTAATGCCTCTGGCAATGTAAGGCAACTAAACCACCCCAAAACTTTGAGCCTGTATAAAGCAGGGTCAAAGCTAGAGCAATGTTTCTACCCCTACAGGCTCATGCACAGGTAACGGTTAAAGTATAGCAGCTGCTGCACACTCCCAAGCAGCCGCTTCCCTTCCCTTTTGAAGCTGCCTCAAGTTTACATCTGTCCATACCCACTGACAGCATATCATCATAGTAATCTATATTACAATGAAGTATTTTCTGTTAAGCAAAATTACAGCTAGTATTTTTAAATGCATCACACATGGAAAAAATAACATGCAACTATAATACTGTATGTTTTCTCAGCAACTTCAGGCAAAAAATACCTTTCTGCATTAAATGTATAAATATATATAATATACAGCTATAGAGATATCCATGAGGACTTTGCTGTTTTTCTACTTTAATATGCCATAAAACTGCTTGCAGTATACACTATTGCCAATTCCAATTAATTTACAAGGGCTGACCCAGAACACTTTCCTATAGAAGGTATGCATTTGCTTCAGTATTTATAAATTTTATTTTGTTTTAAAACATTATCAGTTCCAGCTTCATATTCTACTTTAATTATCAGATCTTTTTTTTCAAACCAGCAGAACCTTTCCAAATGGAATAAATACTAACCATGACTATTATATATACTGGTAGCTTATATAAAGTATTTTTAAATAGTAGTAATTACTTTTCAATCAGATTCAGGATAGTATAAACATGAAGCATAAAAAGCCTCAGGATCATCACTAAAATATCATTCCCTAATGCCATCTGCTGTTATTTGAGAACTATTCATACATCATTAGAGTTTCACATTTGTGAGGAAAAAGTAAAATGCCATGTTGCCTTGGCAATGGCAGTAAAAAAAGTAAATACAATTTTAAATTAAAATAGTAAAATAAAAGGGCTGGTTGATAATTATCAGCTCTACAGAATCACAGACGTAATTTCTTTAGTATTATCTGTGTCAGATTTCAGAGCAAGTAGCAGAATAGAACTCATACTTATCTACTGCTCAGTTGTTTAAAAAAAGGAAAATTTGTAAAACATTGAATTATACTTCATTGTTTAATCCCTCCTGGGAAGGGAATTAAAACAGTGTATACCTCCCCAAGTAGCACTGCCAAAGTGGTTTGTTTTGAGATGCCAACTCTGAATCCTTTGCCCCAAACATTTTTGCTAGTAGTTTTACAACCTGCAGGCGTTCTTCATTGTCATTGCTCTGGAAAATGAACACATTTTTCAAAAATAAAAACTGCATAAAAGAACAGTTCTACACCAAAGCATATTTAACTTCAGAACAATTAAAGATTAAATTACATAATTTCTGTATACAACAATATACATTTCCACATATATAAAAGCCCATCTTAATCATAGAGATGAAGTAATGACCTATAAATAAAGGCAGTTCAAACAAGAACCTTTGTAACTTGTTAAAAAATAAACAGTTTATGTACATTATTTTAACTTGCATTTAGAGTTCACTGATATTGTTCTTCAATCCAGATAAAATTACTGGAAGGTATACATACTTACACAAACAAAATACAACATTAGCACAAGGAGTTTACAATGTATTTGTCTAGCAGTACTATGATGAACTGCTCTGAAATTTTCTTATTGATGACTTAGGTAAAAAGCAATATTTATCGCTTAAGATTTTAGGAAGTCATCAATAAATTCCAAAGTTCTCAGATATAACTAGTGACTGAGTACAAATATTCTGTTTTAAAAGTATTCTTCCAAACTGAAAGTCCTAGCTGTTTGTAGGAAAAGATGCCAATTGAAGGACAGTTCAGTCACAGAAAGTTGCTCAAGGCCACGGCTTGGAAATACTCTCTACATTTTCACAACATTTTCAAAACCAAAATTATCAGCATTCAGTTCTGCAACTGGACCGCAGTTATCAGAAAACCCCATACCTAAATTATTGACTGAATGATCTTTTCTAGTATATACCTATGATTCAGCTTGATATTAAAATTAAGAATTCACCTATTAAAAATTTTCCCAGTACTTTTCATCCCCTATTGCTTTAAGGAGCTATAATTAAGGAGTCAAAAAAATCTCTAACACCCTTTACACATTATTTGCACCACATGACTAAAAGTGTTTAGACTAAGGACTGTCACTATATATAGTCTAGATTATCTAATTATAGTTTCACTGTGGTGTTAAATGAGAGCTAGTTGATTATTACAATACCTTTTTATTTTATTTTAAAGAGAGGCTTTATTAGATGAATATTCAGATTATAAATATGCCATTCAATTAAGTGGCAATAAGTAGGGTGCTACTAAATGTTTTTGAGAAAGTGAACAGAGGAGTAGAGATTTTTCTCTTATCACGGGAAATGCGTAGAGATTTTAGTGATAATTTATAGAAATGTAAGACTATCTTTGGATGATTTGCTTTAACTTAGATGAAGACTAATAAGGTACTTTCCAAAACCAGGCCTGCCTGCTGCGGGCTCAGGGGGTGGGGAGGGCAGCTGGCTCCCTGCCGCAACACACTTCTGCGGAGCAGGGGGGACCCACATCCCCCAGAACTGCCCTGGCAATGCGTCCCCTGCACATGGCTGCAGTAGGGGCAGTAGCACAGGGTTGCGTTCAAAGGACGGGTCACCAGTGCAATGCGGAGCTCACAGCAGCAAACATTTTCCTGCACAGCTCCACTGTTTTTTACGGCACCAGGTCGCGCCCGCTGAGCTGCAGAGGCCCCAGGGGAGGACAGCAGGGCAAGAGTGCACGCCGCGCACAGATCTGGAGGCACAGGTTCCCCCTGCCCCACCCCTGGAAGTGCATGTAGCAGCGGGGAGCCTGCCCCACCACCTGGAAGAACCGCCCACGGCCCCATCCTGCTCTCCACCAGGGCCCTGTGGCAACACATTGCAGCCCTGGGCCCCAAGCCCCAGGCACTGCCCAGCTGGGCAGTAGCCCCAGCCCTAGCCCCGCCCAACTCCCTCCCTATCTATTCCCCCACCCCTTACCTGCAGGAGCTGCTCTCCAGGCTGCCTGGTAGCCATGTGCATATATACACACACACACACACATTCACATGGCGCCCCCTGCCTGGCCATAGATGCTGTTGAGCGCTCCCTTCTCCCTTCCTTCTATCACTAAAATAATTCACTCATGCCTCAATAATAAATTCTCTCATAGAAAAATAATTTACTAGCATCTGAACATTGAAATTTATTTTATTTATTTCAATTCTTTCTCCATTACAGTTTTTATAAACCAGTTGTGAACCATCATGTGACATTTATGGTGAGAAGTCAGCATCCTAACTTTTGATCAGACCTTTATCAACCACATAGCTCCTACACTGATCAGTAATTTTCAGTGGTCATGAGCCAGGGTTGTTGCTCTCTATGCAAGTGTGTAATGGTGCCTTAACAGTGGTAAATATATCAGAAGTTTCAATACTGAAAATGTAGTTTATATCACAGAGGAGACAGCATAGTCTTTTTCCAAATCAAGACTAGATTTAGAATTACTTGACTCCTTGATATCCATGTTGATGGTGGCTTCAGCAGAGGGTTCAATACTGTTATCTTCAACAAGCAAGGTAGGAAAAGGAGTCAAAGTTTACTAAAGAACTGGTGATCTCTTGAAAAAGGAAGTAACTGAGAAGACTGTTTTTGTCTTTGTTCTTCATAAATGCTTTTCTCTTTATGATAAGGAGCTCCCCTTTTTTGTTTTGCTGGCATTGTTAGGCCTATACTTGATGGGGACAAAATGCCAATAGTTTGTTTTTCCTTTTTATCATTTCTCTCCCTGCCTGTCACTTCCCTAACAAGCTGAGCTGTAGCCATATTTCATTCTCCCCACTACAACTGTTGCATTATATTGTTTATTTTTATTTCTGAAGTTGAAATGTACTCTGACTTAAGAGAAAAGTTTTGCATTACTTGGGCTTAGCCCCAGAATTATGAGCTAGGGCAGCCACCTACACTATGCAGACATAGCTGGCCAGGACTATGCCTGGAGCAGTCCCCTGGGGCATCCCCCGCTCTGCTCAGATGCCTCCCCACCCCACCTTAAGTAGTGCCCCGAACTCATGCCCCACTCACTATTGACAATATTCAGTGTATAAAATCTTCCTGAGACCTAAATTAAGCTACCTAATTCTTCACCTGGTTACACATGAATACCTAGGGCATGGAAAACACAAATTCAAGGTTGAAACGCAGTACCTTTTCTTAGGTACTTCTCTTCAATGAGACCCAGTACCTTTTCTTAGGGGCTCACAGTTGAAAAATGTGTAATATTTTTATACTATTTGTTAGTATTGGTCCGAATATAAAACGATAGAAAGCTGTTCAAGAAAAGCACAGGATATAGTGATTAGTTTAAAAGGCCTGATATCCTTCAAGAAGGATGTGGACAAGCTTGAAAGGGTGCAGAAAAAAGCCACCCACATGATCAAGGGCCTGGAGGGCAAGCCCTATGAGGAAGAGAGACTTTGGGATCTGGGACTGTTCAGCCTGAGCAAAAGAAGGCTGAGAGGCAACTTGATAGCAGCCTACAAATGTGTCAAGGGAGAACGCCAGGACCTCAGTGAACAACTGTTCAGAAAAGCCCCACCCCGACCCCACCCACCAGAAAGGCATGGACCAGTGGACACAAGCTAATCAAGGAAAAGTTTTGGCTGGACATAAGAAAAAACTTCTTTTCTGTATGGGTAACTAGAATCAGGAACACACTTCTAGCAGAGGTGGTGCAGTCACCATCTCTGGTGGTTTTTAAGAGGAGGCTGGACAAATACCTCATTGAGCTCATTTGAGCCCAATTACCTCCTGCCTATGGCAGGGGACTGGACTTGATGATCTTATAGGTTGGTCCTTCTTTCTATGATATTATCACTTGCAACACATTTAACAGAGCAAATATTTTCAAACCTCCTTAACAGCCAATGGAGACTGGCCCGAGAATTCCCAGATAGCTGTGCAATAGCTGTATTTTAGAAGAGTTGAGCTGACTTCACAATTATAAGGAGTAGGAAGTTTACAAACTCTTGATAGGAAAACAGCTAATAGTTCCAAGAGCAGCTGTTGGTGCTATCTACCTGGAGCTGCTGTCTTGAAGCTGGGTCCTAGCACATGGGCTGCTGCTGCACTGGGACTGGCTCCCTGTCTCCTGCAGCTATACAGAAGGTTCCTAGGGGAGTCATCATTCTCTCTCAAAATTAGCACTCGGGGCTTGTGCCCCACTCATTCTGCTCTATTTACACTAACATGAATATGTCCAGCCCTTTTGCAAAAGGTCTAATTCACTGAAGTGGTAACAAAAGCTTTAAGCTGCAAGTGATGCCATACCAAGCTTGGATGACCAGATATAATCAGTCTTTAAAAAATTCCTCTTTAACTCTCCAGAGCACTAGAAAATTTGGAAGAAAAATGCACAGGTGTTAGCTAGTGCAAAGAATAGTCACTTCACATATATTCCATTCCTAGTGCAGATGTGTGCTCATGCCATGCAAGATCAGATTCTTCTCAATTGCATGTTATAATGGGGTCCTGCTTAGTCTGGATGCTTTCTTGGTCCATTAAAAAAAACAAACAGAGGGGCAGCTACAACTGCCTTCTAGTTTCTTCCTTAAAAACAGAAAGCATAAAAGGACTGCAACAGTGGGAAAAAGAGTCAGGTCCGGGAATACATCAGAACAACATTTCTCAAGCTACAGATATAACTGAGAAAATAACTTTGCTTTGTGTGACCATGCCCCTGTATTCCACTTCTGCTAGAGCTCAAGCAATAATTCAAGCTCAGCAGGTAGGCGTTGAGTTTCCTCTAATCAACGATAGTAAACAGCTCTGCCATATATATTAATACTGTACCTCAACATTTCTACTGAAGTACTCTTTGATACAGAGAAAAGGTATAAAAGTCACCAGATCTCTGTCATCAGAAAGCTTCTTGAAGAGGCAGCAGAGAAGGTTTGAGCATTAAAGGAATAGTCATTAAACTGCAATGGGTCCAGGAGTTATCACGTAATAAGTCTTGATAGTCAGAAACTCTTCAAGATAAGCTCCAAATAGCTAATGGATGATCTCCATTCTGCCAAAAACCAGGAACAATGTGGGATGCCTTTAAGCAAAGGAAGTTTTACACAGGCACATAACTACCCATCACCTCAAAAGACAACATTGCTCTGAACTGCAAGCACCATGATGATCAGATTTCTTGGTTTTCTCTATTTAAAAACTGCAAGTTTGCTTGGCATTTGATTTTGGGTTTTTTACCCTGGAAAATCAGAGCTCCCACACCCACTTCCCTCACCAGGGTGCAGGTCCAGCAGTGGCTGTCCTTCCAGCCCCCTACTTTGTGGCACTGAGCAGCCCTGATATGCCAGTGCCCTGTCCATGCCATTGCCCTCACTTACGACCCACAGCTCCGCCCCGCCCCC